AAATTGAAATAGTTATTACCGTTATTTTTAACAGTAATAGTTTAGAAATGAATACTTCTTAGTTTTTAAGTTGTTACAATGTATGTGTTTTATGATTTTGGTTTCGGGTAATTTAAGAAGTTTTTTTTTTAAAATTTTCTTCGATTTTTATGTGTTTTTTTGGTACTTTATACAAATGTGAAATCGCATATTTTTGAGAACCTCAGTGTGTATGTGTGTGTGTGTCGGTGTATTTCTGTGTCTGTCTATGTGGACCTGCGCATATACGTTTTGCATGCGTGTGCGTGTATGTTTGTGTCTGTGTTTGTGTATGCTTATTAAAATACGTGTTTTTATGTGTGTGTTTGTATGTCTGTGACCCATAGCTCAGCTTCGAGATCAAATCAGATAAAGGGTTATTTTTAAAAATTAACTTACTCAGTGCTCTAGTTTAAGGACTTTAAATTTTTCGGGTTTTCGAATTGTAACATCGAAAAAGTGGTTTTTTTTCTCAAGATTTTCATATCATGGAAAAAAAAAAAATCACTTTTCCGATTCGAAAAAAAAAAGCGCATATCGTTGCTGGTCTTTTGGTGCTTTTGGTTGATTATTTATATTTTTCCCGATGTTCTTACATTATTTTACCTCGATTCAACAACAGAGTTTTGCTGCCTATTTTTATGCAGTTTTTGCATGCATGACTTGTATAACTTGTGACAACACCTATACATGTCTGTCCTGATAATTCAGTTCTAGAATCACGACGAAAATTGGATTTTTTTCGGGGGAATGTACCCCTCGGTAATCAGCTTTTTTGATCTCCACGTGTTTCTCTCTTTTACAGCATTATGCCGAAATTGTGTCATCTGATGCAACAATGGGTGTAAAATTGTTCGATATTGCCTTTTTCGAAGTTTTCGATTTTGCCCAGATTAACTTTTGGGCAATTGATGGACGTTCATCGATCACCCCCTTCCCCTTCTGCCCAACAAACGATACATGCTTTATCCCCTTGAGCACTATCCAGCATCAGTGCACCACCATGTTATTGCTTGGTGTCCCTCGCAGCCATGTACTCATCTAGAATCGTCGGGTTTTTCTTGACTGCTCCTTTTTTGTCACCTGGTGGACCAGCGCGTATTCGATTCTCATTGATATTGTTTTTCAAATTCTGTGTGATTCCGGTGCTCCCCTTTATAAACCTTGCAGAATGATTGATTATCGTTTTTTTTTTCTTTATGAATTGTTCGTTCCATCGTAGCCTAGCGCGCAAATTTTTTTTTTTTGTGAATTTGTTCGTCCCGTCGCAGTCCAGTGCACAAGATTCCTTCCATCTGCTA